CCTTCTGGTTAGCAGTCAAGTGCCTTAGGCACTACGCTACCAGAGCTCCCTATATATATAGTTAGAGAGAGAAATTTATCTTAGGAAAATGGCTCAAACACTTACAGATGCTGGCAAGTTGCAAGTTCATGGATCAAACGCCTAGCTGGAGGCTTTTCTGAATCATGAAGCTGCAGGGGCTGACGAACTCAAGGTTGGCAGGCAGTATACCGGCTGTTGACTCTGATGGATGACGAATCCAAGATCACCAGGCCAAATGGTGGATTGTTTGCTTATGGAAAATTGTAGGTAGCACAACAGTATTCAGATCCACTGAAGAGTCTGCCTTTTTCCCAGGATGTCCATATATATATTGGAAGCAGGCCACACCCCTAGGGAAGCTCCTTTTCAATGGATTGGCTGTTCAAAATGTATACATCCGATCTCATCATGGGAATAACTACATCACAGCTGCTTAAACCGTTCAGATTTGTAGTCCAGACAAGTTGACATACAACCCCAACTATCACAGTCTACCCCTTGTCAACTTGATAGTTGTATACATCTCCTTAACCTCATATAATCTCTGAATACAGACAATTATAAAGTTGTATTTGTGCCTACCATGATACACTAACACATACAACCAAAACGAATTAACCCTGTTCATATTCCGTTTTGGTTACCCAGTACTGCTTTGACAAGAAAATACCACAAATGGGATGGCATGAACAAACAGGAGTTATTCACTTACAGTTTGGAGGCTTTCAATCATTGTTCAAAGTGGCAGGGTCTAGGGGCTGGGTGAAAGCCCCTCAACCTTGGGCTTCAGCTTTACCTCCTGCTCCCTGCCCACTGAAGCTGGAAGCTTTTTCTTCACTCAGGCAGCTGCTGGCTGCTTAGGCTGACAAGCCCAAGGTTGACAAGTATAAAGGCTCAATCCCAGTGTTACCAGACAACATGGCAGGCCATTGATTCAAGTCCATTGAAAGCCCCAAGGTTGGCAGAGCATGGCAGGGTGCTGAACAGTGACTCAGCTACATGCAGGTTTCATCCATGCTATAAACTAGAGACCATTCCCAAAGCTGCTTCTTGTATATGGGAAGCAGACTACATCTCTAAAGCAGCTACTCAGCTGCTCCAGTAGATACCACCATGGAGTTAATTGCCAGTCTCACCATGGTGGAATAAATATATCCAGCTGCCCAGCCACTCAACCAGGCCTACCACCTTGATATACAGTCTTAACTACCACACTAGCATTCAGTGTTTGTTTTACAGTGATTTGTTGAAGAGACACGGCACACCCCACACCTCGAGAGCAAGAGTGTGGTGTTGCCAAGCTCCTTCCCTGGGAACTATCTCAGCATCAAGCCACCATGGCTTTGAACTGTGTCTCTGAACACTGTATGTTAGTGTCATTTTAGGTTTTATGTATTATTTGATATGATTTGGTAAGTTATTTTTTGGTTCTGGGAATGCTCAAAATTTTTTCCCATATAAATTAGTGGAAATTGCTGCTTCGCTTTACTCCATTTCAGCTTATGAAAAGTTTCATAGGAATATCTACTTTCGGATAGTGGAGGAAACCTCTATATCAAAAAAAAAATCAATGTGGAACATGAAATTGTGTAGTGGTGTCTAATCTTATTCCAAGGCTTGGGAGGTTGTGTTGTGCCCATCAGACACTAAGGTGATAGGACTTAAATAATTAAGTTCTTTACATCTAATTACTTACTAAGTGGAACTGGTAGATATTTGTTTGGCCTAGGGATACTGTGAAAATTACTGAAACACTAAGAGCCCTGTGAATTGAGAACATTTTCGAATTCCTGCCCCAGAACTTTGCTTGGTGCCTTTTCTTTTTAGTTTCTGATGATCATGATCACTCATGTCTTGGATTTGATCTTGGTATTTTCCCCAAAGATTTCTCTTGTGTTTATTTTTATAAATACTGATAAAGTGTCTTACTGCATGCCACTAAAAGCACTTCGCAGATATTCACTGTATTATAACATTTTAAAGATGAGGACTCTGAGGCACAGAGATGTTAATTAATTGATTGGGATTTGAGCCTAGGAAGTCTGGCTTCAGATTCTATTTTCTTAGACATTACAACGCATTATCTCTTAAAGAAAACACAGACTCTCTACACTTAAAAAAGGTCTGATAAGAGTATCTACTAAAGCTGAAGGTGTGCATTCTCCAAGGTAAGGTGTATTTCTGAAGAGACTTACATGTGTGTGCAAGGAGATGTCTGGAGTACTTCGGCACTGTTGGGAACAATCTAAATGTCAACAGAATAGTAAATAAAATAGTTATGGTATTCATATAGTAAAAACTATATGGTGTAAAAATGAATGTTCTAGAGGTACATGTATTACCATAACAAAATTTCATTGCTGGATAGTATATTGCTAAAAAAAATAACAGTATGTTGCAAAAGGATGTTGTTGTTGTTGTTATGTGCCGTCGAGTCAGCCCCGACTCATAGCGACCCCTTCTTGGGTTTCCAAGGCAGTATCACTACGGAAGTAGGATTGCCCAACCTTCCTTCCGAGGAGTGGCTGGTGGGTTTGAACCACCAGCCGTCTGGTTAGCAGGCAAGTGTCTTAGCCACTATGCAAAAGGATAGGTATAGTAAAATACCATTTATATCAAGTTTTCATAATATACAAAAGCTCTATACTTATTTGAGGATAGCAAATAAATAGTAAAAGTGTTAAGAACGCTTAAGATTATATAAGTGACAAATGTAGTATATTGGTTATATCTGAGGAATACATTGGGTAGCTTTAAAGAACAGAAATTTATTGTCTCACTGTTAACGAACTAGAAATCCAAAACCAAGATGTCAGTAGGATGATGCTCCCTTCAGAGGTTCTAAGAAATACTCATTCCTTGTTTCTTCTTAAGGTTTGGTGGTTGCTGATAATTTTTGACATTCCTTGTCTTGTAACCACATTGCTCCAATCTCTACCTCCATCTTCATGTGACATTCTTCTTTCTGTGTCTGTGTCACTATGTGCCCTCTCCTCTTCTTATAAGAACCTGAGTCGTATTGAATCTAGGATCTACCCTGTAAAAATGGGATGTCTACTTCTGACTTTGCTACAGGGATTGAGAATCACTATCAGCATCAGCCGAAAGCTGAATCCTATGAAGCAGAAGTCAGATATACCTCTTCTCTCCAACCCTTTTTTCACCAATTCTGATTCCAGCTGTCCATTCCATGGTACTCTGCTTCTCTGCTGGGTTCAGTAATTTGTTGCAATGGCCACATGTAACTCAAAGACAATATTCACAATTATAGAATTTATTAAGGAAGTTACATGTTATAATTCAGGATCAGGAATGACTCAGGATACAGTTCTTCAGTTGGAGCAGCTTCTTGGCCATGTCCACAGGCAGGTTTCTCCCTGGCCCTTGGCCTCTTTGTTCCTCAGTCCTTTGTCCCCTTTGAGCCAGCCTGGCCACTTCCCTGCTCAGGCAAGTGTTACAAAGCTCTTTAGCTTCACTAATAAGTACCCAGGGGCCTCAACTTCTCTAGTAAGCCTTGGCCCAAAGGTGCTCAACTCTCTTGGCTGTTCAAAATGTTCTCTTGCTCCCTGGGTTGGTGATCCTAGCTCCATCAAGTGCCTGGAGGTACCCCCTCTGCCAGCAAGTCTTTTGCCCAAAGGACTCAGTTTTGCTCAGTGGGCTGGGAAGCCTACTGCACTGTCTCCTGCTGGTCTCCTGGTTCTGCTACTGCCAGTTCTCTGCCTCACTTGCCATTGCTTCTTTCTTTTTTTTTTTTTTTAATTGTGATTTGGTTGAAAATTTACAGAGCAAATTCACTTTCCGTACAGCATTTCACATACACTTTGTCTCCTGACATTGACCACAATTTACCACAGTACAACAGCTCCCCTCCCACTTCCTCCCTATAGTTACTTCTTCCCTTTGTCCATCCCTCCATGCACTCCTGCCCCCTGAGCTGTCTCCCTGTGCATAAGCAGCCCTTCTTTCTCCCGTGAGTGTTCTCTCCAAGGAGTGTATCTACCTCAGGGAAATGTTCAACTCATATACCTGTCTATTGTTGGCTGGAAGCCACAGGCGTGGTTTTAATTCCAGACTTGAGGGGCAGCTAGGGGCCATAGTCTCAGTGGTTCCACCAGGCTCTATCTTGCCATTGCTTCTTGCCATCTTGCACCATCTCTGATGTTATAGCTCTCTCGCTCTCTCTCTCTCTGTCTCTGTCTCCTAGGTCTAGCGATGTTCTCACTGCAGGGACCCTGGTTCTAAAATAAGTACTCCATGTCTGGCTCTTCTTTCGTGGCTCTGCTCTGGGATTGACTCTCTTTTAAGCCTAGTGAGATGGCAAAACTGACCAATCCTCTTATTAGGGTTCCATACACTTTATTTTGTATAATCCCATCCCTGCAGGGTTCCATGCACATTATTGACATTATTAACGAGCTGTCCAATCACTTTGGTGAGTCATAAGCACCTTATTTGCATAGTCCCAGTCATTACATGGGAGTGACAAAGACTATTTATTACTAGAAGGGCCATATTAAGTAGTTCACTACATCATAACCCTAATACAGTCTGACCTCCTGTTAAATAATTACATCTAAAAAAACAAACCAAACTCACTGTCGTGTAGTCGGTTATGACTCATAGTGACGCCTATTGGGTTTCCAAGGCAGTAAAGTTTTACGGAAGTAGATTGCCCCTTCTTCCTTCTGCTTAGTGGCTGGTGGGTTTGAATTAAATAAGATCACATTCACAGGTACTGGGGCTGAGGGTCTCAACATACTTTTTGGAGACACGATTCAACCCACATAAAGAGGATACAAAAAATTTCAATTATATTTATAATGTTTGTAATGCTTTATTTTCTACTGGGTGGTGGTTACTGGTATTTGTTATAGTATTTTGATTACATTTTTATACATCTGAAATGCTTTTTAATTTTTTAAAGAGCCAATGGATGGTATACATATTTATGCATACATGTGAACTATGTTTTTATGCAGTCAGTTGAGCAAGTTACAAGAAGTCTCTCTGAGGAACTGTGCAGTGAATTGTGCTGGTGAAAAAGGAATAATTGCTGAAACATGTCCTAGTATCCTTTTCACTGACAGTTTGTTTCTTGTATCTGATTTTGGATTAAATACTTATGCCAGACACTATGAATTGTCTACCCAGTATCTGTTCTTCCTGGCTTTCTTCCTAACAGCAGCTCAATTTTATGTGGGCAGTCAGTGTCTAGGTAAATTATTTCCCTTTCCAGACTTCCCTGCATCCGCATGTGACATTGTGGCTCCCTCTGCCAGTGATATATGGGGAGCTGATGTTGCTGGGTGAGGCTGTTTGAAGGGGACATGCTTGGTTGGCATCTGTGTTTTGCCTGTTATCTTTACTCTCTCACTGTGTTGAATATAAACACAATGCCCAGGGCTACTAAGCCATCTTGCCAGCTGAGGAAAGCCATCTAGTACAGAGTGGGAGAGCAAAGAAGTTGAAGGAGCCTGAGAGGCTTGCAGGTCTTCTGGAGCCAATTCACCGGCTGTGGACAGCATTTTTGTGAACTTCTTGTTAAGGTGAAAAATAAACTCTTCCCTTTATTAAAGTTCCTGTTTCCTGTAGCTGAATGCAGTTTTGTTATAGTTCCTCAAAAACAAACTTTCTCAGAGTTTGTGATCTCTTTTCTCTGCCTTCTTTTATCAGTGTTTCTTATTTTTTTTTTTTTTAATGTTATTGTCATATATTGCTCTTATGCTCACACCTAAAAATGTAGGAGGTTAAGTAAGTTTTAAAACAAACAAACCTCAATGGCAAATCAAACAGACATTTTATAACTTTATAAGGTCCTCTGCCTAATCTCTGGAAATAATTTATGCAAAAATAGCAGTTTATTTCCAGTTAGTTTTACCTAAGTGAAGATATGTCATATGAGTAAGATTCACTCAGCTGTCTTCAGTAAAATATTCTAACTGCCTAAACAGTATAGAGCTTCTCAAACAATGTGCCTGCAGTTGGATCCCCTTAGTGCTGGGGGGCCCTGTTGGAACAGGGATGGCTGGAGCATTCTGGCTATTGATCTCTGCTGTGGACATCCCCCTCTATTTAGCCCAGTGTGCTGCACAAATGTCATTTTCTGAGGAAGCTCAGCATCCCTGAGTTAGAAGAATTGTAGTGGATATGGCAGCAGTTTGGTAAGGAGAAAAATGCCACAGAGGTGTCCAGAGCATTCCCTGTTCTGTCTGACCTACTCTTCTTTTTGTTTTTAAATTTTATTGTGATTTGGGTGAAAGTTTACAGAGCAAATTCATTTGTCATGCAGCAGTTCACATATACTTTGTCTCATCACATTGCACTATCTCACAATGCAATGGCTCTCCTCCTACTTCCTCCCCCTAGCCACCTCTTTCCTGTGTCCCTCCCTCCTATGCACTCCTGTCCCCCACCCCACCCCCAGCTGTCTCCCTGTACATAGATAGCCCTTCTATTCGTCCATGATTGATCTCTCTAAAGAGTATATGTACCTAATGTCAATGTTCAGCTTATATGCCTGTCTTTTGTTTGGCTGGAAGCCACAGGAGTGGGTTCAATTCCAGAAGGGCAGCTAGGGGCCATAGTCTCAGGGGTTCCTCCAGGCCCCATCAGACAGCCAAACCTTATCTCCCCCTTTTTTTTCTTTTTTTTTTTAATGATTTTGAGGTTAGTTCCATGTTGTTCTCCCACTCTGTCCACGATCTCCTACATAGATCCCCCTCTGATTGGTTGACTGTGATAGCTGGGCACCATCTAGTTCTTCTGGTCATATAGGCTAAGGGTTGCATGATGTACCAGTTGCTTGTACTAATTGTTTCCATGCATCTTTGGTTATTTTCTCTTTTGCTCTGGACGAGGAGGGACCTATCGTTGCATCTAGATGGCTGCTTGCAAGCTTTTAAGATCCCAGTCACTACTTGCCAAAGTAGGATGTGGAACAATGTTGTTGTGTAGTATGTTATGCCAGTTGAGCTTAATGTCCCCTGTGACCATTGTCTGAGCCCACAGGTTCAACTACTTGCTCCCTCTGGGAAGCTGGCTGTGGCCAAGAAGTAACTACAGCCTTGTCCCTTGTCAGCTCTACTATATACCTGGAAATTCTTGCAGAACATACAAATACACTTGTAGAAACATTGTCTGCCAGCATTATACATGGTCATGGGCACATTTCCCCCTGCATAGACATACCTAATCATTCAGCTTGTCCACCTGTCTGTCTACCTGTGGATCAATGTTTGTGCCTGGCCTACTCTTAAATGAGTTGAGGGAAGCAGGAATTGGGTGTTCATCCAGGGTTATTTTCCACGTAAAAAATCTGGGCAGTGTGGGAATATGGATTGTTTGGTTAATGTGAGTTGTCAGCAGTGTACTGGAGAATCAGCAAGTTGCTTATTTATACTGTTGTTTCCTGGAGGAAAAAGAAAAGTCCCCTGAGGGCTTAAAGAAATGAGGCTTAGTAGGATAATCAAGTCACAGTTGATATTTGCAGATAGAGTGATGAATGTTTTGTTGTTCCTGATTGAATTCCTGCCAGAAATTCAAGTATTGCTGTCTGTATTTAATCTACTTACTCATCCTTCTCTTGGTTGATCCCTCTTTGATGCTGTTCACTGTACTATCATTAAAAGCAGTAGAAATGCTGCAAACCTTATTCTCACAAAGTCATTAGTGGAGAAGTATTAGTGGAGCTTCCTTAAGCTTCACCAGCTGACCTGCATGTACCGGAGAGAGAATGTGTCTGTAAGGAGTAAAGACTATAGCAACAGGACCTCCTTGAACTTTGGGGTGTGTGAGGTGGGGAGAGACACTATATTAAGAACTGTTAAATTGTTTAGAGTTAATTTCAAGATGTAGATGGTCTTTGTGCTCTGCACAGACTAGTAATGATAATAGAACTCTTTTTTTTTTTTTTTTTTAATTGTACTTAATACTTTAGGAGCTCTGGTAGCATAGTGGCTAAAGCACTTGACTGCTAACCAGAAGGCTGGCAGTTCAAACCCACCAGCCACTCCTCGGA